TTTTCAATATTATTTATTCGTTGTTATGACAACAAGAGGTTGGGTAAATGACCCAAACATATTCTGTTATGTTTGGGGTAAATTTGTTGTAAAGAAACAAAGGCAAAACGTTACAGAATTCGTCAAAAAATCGTATTACGCGTATTTTGGAATAAAAATTGAGGACCAAGACAAATCATGGGTTCCGCACAAAGATTGCACCATTTGTGTCGAAGAGTTGAGACAATGGATTAAAAGGTAAAAAAATATTTCCCTTTTAGAATTCCACTGGTCTGGCGTGAGCCTAGAAACCACAGAGATGACTGACTATTTTGCTCATGTAATGTGCAAGGCCTAAGCGCTCGAAATTAAAAGGAAATTTCTTATCCAAACCTTCAACCTGCTATAAGACCTGTTGCTCATGGACCTGATGTACCTGTACCTACTCCACCGCAAACTCTTGATACAGTTTCATTTGATTGTAAATCCGATGTAAATAGAAAGGATGATAGGGATTGTTTTCAACCTGAAACGGCTGGTGAACCACAACTGTTCACACAAAGTGAGAGATGTGGGTCTTCCAAAGGATTCTTCAGAGATTTTGGGTCCAGACTTCAGGTTAAGAAATTACTTTCTCCAGGGACGTCATTTTACTGGTACAGAAATAGTGAGAAAGATTTTATACCATATTTTTCGCAAGAAGGTTCACTAGTTTATTGTAAAAATATTGCTGAATTAATACCAATGCTAAGAGCTGCAGTCTATGAACCAAGTGAGTGACGATTGTTCATTGATTCCTCCAAAATAAGTCTAAAAGGTGTTCTCTTTCACAATGGGGCATGGCATGGCCAGGTGGATAAAGCGCTCGACTCGCAATCTAAGGGGCGCGGGTTCGAATACCCGTCCACCAAACATGATCGCCCTTTCAGCCGTGGGGGAGTTATAATGTGATGGTCAATCCCACTATTCGTTGGTAAAAAAGTAGCCCAAGAGTTGGCGGTGGGTGTGATGACTAGCTGCCTTCCCTCTAGTTTTACACTGCTAAATTAGGGACGGCTAGCACAGATAGCCCTCGTGTAGCTTTGCGCAAAGTTAAAAAACAAAAACAAACCTTCACAATGGTAACATATATGCATCTGTTCCTATTGCTCATTCGGTTCACTTGAAGGAAACGTACGAAAATCTAGAACTTCTTCTCCGTAAGGTGAAATGCAAATAACATGATTGGCTACTTTGTGGAGACTTAAAAGTCATTTGTATGTTGTTGGGTCAACAATCCGATTATAAAAAGTTCCATGTTTTTGTGTGACTGGGACAGCAGAGCAAGAAATCAGCACTCGATAAAAAAGCAATGGCCACGCAGAGTCAGTCTGATACCAAGATCGAAAAGCGTTGAAAAGCGTGAAAGTTTGTTTGACACAAAGAAAGTGTTCTATTACCTCCACTTCACATAAAACTGGGCTTGAAGAAGCAGTTTGTAAAGGCCTTAGACAAAGATGGCGACTGTTTCAAGTATTTATGTGAGCAATTTCCAGCTCTTTCAGAAGCGAAATTTAAAGAAGGGATTTCGAAAGGACAATGAGGAAAGTTGAAAAAAGCATGGATTGCATTTAAAGATGTTACTGACAATTTTTAGGAATAAAAGGA